CTAATTAGTTTATTATCATATTTGTATACATTTTGAAACTTAATAAAATACACACGATCTGCTTATATTTAGTGAATTTATAACTTTTATCTAGACATCTTATAGATTGCCAACGTGTATCACATTTCACACAGACGCCCTAAATGCGACCTAGTGTGTATTTACTGTCTCATTACACTTCACGACAAAAAATAAAATGATTCTGTTGAATTCCCGTAACAAATAAATAAAAACAAAATGCAAATATTAAAATTAAAACAGACCAAAGTTATAGCAACAATATCAGGCTATTACCTTGTTCGAAATGTATCCATCAATATCCACATAAAGGAATGAGGATGCCATTCATCTGCAGCTGACAAAGTATCCTGTTCCATGTCATGTGTCTTTTAACTGTGTAATATGCGAAAAGAGAAGTGATTTATCGTTTCAGGTTTTCACATTGGTGTATAGTCCCATTGGTCACCAAGATGGCCCACCTGGCAACTAACTGCATGATGTAGAAAAGTAATTTAGTTAGCCAATAATCGGCAATCAATGTATTGGCGGTTAATCCTTTGAAGGAAGGACGTTGTTTTTACAGAGAGACTTTACGACAGGGTGTATTCAGTACAGACCATTCTTAGCCAATGTGCATGACCTCGAGGTCAAATCGAAAGCGAGGCTTAAATAGGTTGACCCAACCATTGAAAATGGCGACCTCGAAAGGAAAGATTACTGCTGTGTGCCTTTGCGTTGGAGTGATGCCCGTAAGGATTTTACGGTATCTTTTCACCATATTTCCAAGAATAAGATCAGAAGAAGGCAGTGGTTGACGAAAATACGGAGAGATCCTGGAAAATGATTCATAGTAAGTACAAAATAATTACGGCACATGGCATAGTCTAGATCTGCCGTGTAATGTACAAACTGTTCACTATGCAAGGTTTTAATATCAGGGGCACATGTACAATGTGAATGTCACACACACAGACACATTCAAACCCCACCCCCCACCCCACACACACACATTGTCATGTTCAAAATCAGTGATCACCCCTAGTTCATATGGACACAATTGACCCCTCTCCTGCCTCCCAAAACAAACTGGGAGACACCCCAACCCCCACAAACACCGCACCTAAAATCATCATCACCCCTTAGTCATAAATTATGAACGGTCCAATATATTAAAAAAATTAAGCATATGGACATGTGCAGACACTCTTGTCATGATGGCAAGGGAATTTTATTTGCAAATATTCTGTATCAGTGAAATTAGATTGGCTGCAAATCAAAGTAACATTTCAAGTACATATACATTTGTATATGCAGGACATACACATGCTGTTAAAAATCTTAAATATGTATGTACTTTCAAAATTACTGCATACTGACCAGTACTTCAGGGATACAGGACATATTACTGGACAATCTAATTACACCAACTGAAATATATTTAGTGTTTAAATATCCATTTCAGATGCTGCTAATTAAGAGTCAGAGAGCATGTCACCAGCTCAGGAACCTCCATAAGGAATCTACCACAGTCACCATCTCAGATACAGTAAGAATGTCAGATCGTATTAAGTTAATTTTGCCAACTGACATGGTTTTAAAAAGAATTTAATACAACTGAACTTTGACCTATATGCTATGTTATTTACATATAAAAATATTGATTGCCCATACTGTCTAAAATATGAAATGATGTTAGCCTCTATTCCTTGATGTATATTTGTAATTCCAGAGATATATTTATTGTTTGTGTGGTCGAAGAGATAATAGTGATGCTTTACAATGCTTATATTACAGTGAAGCAGAGAGTGATACAGCAGCCACTGACCCCAGTCCTACATAGAACAACTCCATCAAAAATTACATGAACAGGGAGGCAACTCAAGGAAAAAGGTTGACAAAATAGAAAAATTGAACAGAAAACTTGAACTTGAAAAGTTTGGAGTTTGTAAGTTCATGTATGATGATAAAAATTGATTGAACATTTTACAGTATTCCATCATTTCAAACATTGGCACTGATTAGCTGGAACTTTTTCATTTGTTGAATATCTTCCCAGGTTTTGTGAAGTACCTTGCCCAAACAGCACAAAAATTGACAGACATGAATGTAAATGAAATTGTTTGGTGCTTTTGTGTTGTGTAAATGATGGATGAAAAAAGAGACAGCTGTAATACATACACATTGATGGATTTAACTGAATAATAGAAAGGTCTTTCATAATGGCATAGTTGTAGATGTAACTCATTTGCTGCTGTTTAATTAATAATTGATGAAAAAGAATGTATTTCATCCTGTTTGAAAAGAGTTAGTTGGGAATCAGAAAAAAACATCATTCATAGGTAAGAGATTATGATAATGTGTAAGGGGAGAAAACTATGATAAATTATGCATTGATCCAGCTGTAATTGTTGCCATTTATGTCAGACTAATCTAAAAGGATACTTCTATCAACATAAATATTGCACCCAATATATTTTCAATTTGCATCCTCTGAAAATTTTATTGTTATTCATCAGTATTACAGTTGGAAGCTATTGTGAATGTGTCTATTGTTATTGGACTTTTAAGACACCATTTCAAAATAATTTTTATTAACTGCACTCAGGTGTTCGTTATTTATTTGGGTTAATTGTTTGCTGTAGTGTGAATCCTGTTATGTTAATCTGATAATATGTTCTCCTTAAAAATGTCTTCAGTTACAGTGGTACAGAATAAATACACCTGATCTACAATAAATCAATTTTATGGTATAGTAACACAGTATTGAAAATTGGTTCAAATATTCCCATGCAGGTACCACTTGTCCATTTAGGTAAATTAATTATTCACCTCCAAATCAGTCAAGAAAAAACTTGAAAAAAATCATCCAGTTTTGTCTTGCACATTGTGTCCCACCAGAGACCATATAATAGATATGGTCTCTGGTCCCTACTCATGTTGATTGAAATAAATAGTTTCTACATGATGATGTGGCGATTCGTTTTCCTCTGCGATTGTAACATGCAGCTACGCGCACATCGCCATCACCACTAGTCCTGTACAACTGAAAATAAATGCGTGAATAAATACCCTATATCTATAAAACAGAGTCGATAGGACAAAACATTTTAAACAGAAAAAATACCAAACAAATAATTTCATCACATGAATAATACAAACAAATTTGTTTGGTCCAGATCCACTCGAGGAGAGCTATCTTGATCTACATATTACTTATAATCTCGATTATCCAGCTCAAGAATTAACAACACTACTCCCATGTGGAAGTGGATGATTTGAATCCAGGTCAGGAAATACGTTGAGTCTTTTGCTTTGTTCATATGTTGATAAAGTAAACGTAATTGACTTCCCTTGGTAATATTTCCACTATTGTGACTTTAGAGTAGCTTCCCTTCATAAATGCTGCGCAACATGGTAAACGTTACCTAGATATCTAGGTCATATGACTTATCGTGATGTGTCGTGATGTACAGTAATTATTCACCCTTCAATCCGTGGATATGCTACAGAAACATTTGTGTAGCCCTTTCCCATTTCTCTGCGATTTCCCTGAACTACTGGACAGTTTCGTAATGTACCGTTCAAGGGAAATTTGAAACCAGGAAGTATACATTGAGATTTGTCGCCATTATGCGATTGTGTCCTTGCCCCATTTAGCCTCGTTTTGGTACAGATATGAATATTCATGAGGCCTCATTAAGAATGGTCTATAGATTACGGTAATTCCATGCGTATATTACACAAGATGTAATACATTTGCGACATCAGACCTCAATTTATAGTGATGAGTATTTACTCCAGACACAAGAAATGCCAAATGGGAACCTTTGTCGGGTAATCTGAGTGGTGTTATCACTAATTATACCTGTTATAAATTCATTAACTGACCATCAAGTGAATGATGACAAATAACATGTGTTACCACAAAACAAGGGTTACAGCAAGAAAGTAGTAAGAGAGCAAGTTCGATTGCCTGAAAAAAGAAAATAATGGGCCGACACTGTTTTGAGGATACGAACGGAACTTCATTGTTACATAAGAAATATATATAAGCATTTGCTGTGTACTTAGTTAAAACTGTACATACCTATGTACCTAAGTAAAATTTCAGATTTTTTTTGCAATGGCAAAGTTGGGTTGTTTAGTTTATGGATTCAAATATATCAAATGTGTTTTTTGATATCATAGCGTAGGTAATAGACATATTTTTACATGATTAAATATCGAGGTAAAAAACACAGAAATAGGATCAAACTGGATCAGTCACTATAGCATCGAAACATTTGAAAATCTGAAAAAGCCTACACCACTGGGATACTTTATTACAATCATACAAGAACTGTCGGGGATATTTTTCAAATAACGGCATCAGATGGGCATCCACCCTTCCTAATGTTCCCTTGATTAGGTTGAAGAAATTCTGCCAAGGTGGACAGTAGCCCAGTCCCCGTGTTCGTCACGGTCGAGGGAGCAGGGGCTGACCAGTTTGCAGCTAGGTTGCGTAATTAGACTGTTGGCTGGAAACATTAATCGCTTTGGATCAGTGGCCCTTTAAGTGGTAAGAGCTAGCCGAGAACAGGATCTCGAAAAATCGATGTCCCAGTTTACGACACACTACACTTGTCAAGAGTTGCTTCCCCTGGAACCCATGTTCCCAGTTGTTACACTATTCGTTTCAAACCGAAATTATCGCTCATTTTTCGAATCATTAAAGAAGGTAGATGCACACTTCGAATGTTCAATATATATTTTACTGATTATATCAAACCACGTAACGTTATATAAACCAACTATCGTTAACAAATTGAATATGTTACCAATATAGATCTAGTTCAGTGAAACGAAAGAGAAAGTAGAGCGACCGTACAGATTGACGCACAAATATTTAACGCCGTGAGAGGTGATTATTGGTTTTATATAGAATACTTGCATGTATATTATGTACAAATGTATATAAATGACTTCATGAGTTGTCAGGCAAAACAACAGATCTTACTCACGTGACAAACTTTTGCACGACCCGAGTCTCCGTGTTGTCCCAACTGTTAAACGGGATGCGAGTCACATGATTATGACGACACCAAGCTCCGTACATTGAATGCTTCATGCCTCGCTTGTTCCTTTATAGCTTCCCCGTATAATGACTCATGCATTTCTGTTATTCCAGTGTGTATCGCTTGTGGTTTTGTAGATGTGCAGTTACAAATGAATATATCTATTTTATATAGCCTATAGTCAGTGTACATGGGAATAATAAAATGTTGGTGTGTATAGTCAATAGTTGAGTGAGTTTGGTTTTACGCCGCTTTATCCACAGGCCCCCACTGCGGGTCAGAAAATCGATAAACTAGGCCCCGGTTTAGTATCAACACCCCCTACTATATAATATAGAAAGGTTCATCACAGAAATACGGTGACATGATCGAAAACCGGACAATTACGCACATGTCAATGAATATATCGTATTTTAAAGGTCTCACAAGTATCAAAGGCTTTTGTCCATATCTCCGATGATGTATGAAGCATATACATGAATGCATGCATTTGATGGTTTTTATTAAATCGCCAAAGACCGAGTTGCATCCCCACGGAAGCCCATGTATATGCCTCCTACATACATCGGAGATATGGACAAAAGCTTTTGATACTTGTGAGACCTTTAAAATACGATATATTCATTGACATGTGCGTAATTGTCCGGTTTTCGATCATGTCACCGTATTTCTGTGATGAACCTTTCTATATTATATAGTAGGGGGTGTTGATGCTAAACCGGGGCCTAGTTTATCGATTTTCTTACCCGCAGTGGGGGCCTGTGGCTTAATCAATATTCTAGCAATCCCACCGTCCCGTAAAGTCAATAAAGCTAAACGATGTGTATTTCAGTAGAGTGACTAAATGCTGTTTAATGCCGTAGAGAGTAATATTCTAATTGTGGAAGGCAATGTGTACAATTGTTTTATCACATTCGGGCAAAAAACAAAATGTTTTGAAACAATAAACTACATTCACAGGTCCGCTTTCCCGTCAATTTTGGACATAATTTTCAGATTGAACATATAGCTCAGGATGTCTATCAGTTACTAGATTAATATATTATTCTGGGAAAAGACGACTGAGCTCTAATGCTATCGAAATTGCATTACTTTTTCCTTTTGCTTTGCAGCTATAAATAATGTGTGAAGACATTTTCAGCAAAACGAGAATAACAGCTGTATCAGTGGAATTGTTATTTTATTTCATTTTAAATGTGGGCCAACTAACCCAATCAGCTATAGCGATTTGAAAAAGTCAACCCACAGCCAGTCCTCTAGTAATACACCGCAATTCCATGTGCAGAGCTGCTTCCCCTGGGCCCTTCTAGGCTTAGAGCACAGACCATGCTCGTAGTGCTCATAAAAATGGTAAATGTCTGAGACCAACTATAGCACAAGGGTTCGAATAACTTTTAAAAATAAAACAAATCTAGACTTTAGCAATCATATATTGTTTTTATATGTTACGATTAGCATATATTTTACATTTTAACGAAATCGGTGAAGAAATGAATATTTTAGAAAATTCTGCCGCTACACTTATTACATAAAATACACATATACAACAATATATGATTGCAAAAGTCTAGATTATTACTTGTAAAAATGATTGTCCAAACAGTGATTTGAACCCCTGTGTGCTATAGCATCATTTGGACCTTTCCTCATACCAGAGGTGAATTGCTGGACAAAGAGGTGTTAATCCCATCTAATTTAGATGCAATTCCCAGGAATCATTCAATAACAGCACACTATAAAGCTTTGGGTGGATCCCACCCGTGAAGATCCGGGTTAGAATTTTTCTTCAGTAGCCCTTGCTTGTCGTTTGATGCGACTAAAGGGATATAGGGTGGTCGGGCTCGCTGAGTTGGCTGACACATGTCATCGTATCCCAATTGCGTAGATCGATGCTCATGATGTTGATCACTGAATTGTCTGGCCCAGACTTATTTACAGGCCGCGGCCATATAGCTTGAATACTGCTGAGTGCAGCGTAAAACTAGACTCACTCACTCACTCACTGTCATTAGTTGGAGTTACGGATGATGTGGTCTAAGCTTTCGCTCGTCACGCCGAAGCTCCGGGTTTGAATCCCCACATACGTACTATATGTAAAGCCAACTCCCATTATCTCCCGCAGTGATGTTGGTCTGGTATTGCTCAAAACGGCGTAAAACCATGGCAACCTACTTCCAGGACTTTTTACGATTACTCATTTAAGTATGATCTTTTCGGATCTGGGCACCGATTCACAAAACATTCGTAGCACTACGATATTCTTAAGCCTATGATTAACTGTAGAGTTACGAGGCCGTAACGTTAACGCTTTGTGGATCGGGACTATGCAGATATCATATCATTCTCCCCGAAACTTCCAAAAATCCCGTTGAAAGGATTTTGTTTCTAGTGTTTTCATCAAGTTCCAGGGAACAAATTTTAGATCGTTGATGTCCGAACTCTGGGGTTGGAGATTGTTTTTGTGGCATATACAAAGTAGGTCCTAGGGCGGAAATAGCAAAATATACAATAATTTAATAATCATACTGCTTTTCAGTGCTTACCAATCGAATTCTACCAGCCTAATCCTATTGCAGCTTGTAACTGTCACTTTCAAAACATGAAACAATATTGTAACTAATTTCTTTATAAATGGCACAAAAATTAAAAACACCTCATTATTATACCTTTATAAAGATATCTAAACACCGACATGTGGTAAGTCAGTGAGTGAGTTTGGTTTTACGCCACTTTTAGCAGTATTCCAGCAATGTCACAGTGCCCTTGAGGACACAAGAAATGGGCTTTACACATTGTACCCATGTAGGGAATCAAACCCGGGTCTTCAGCGTGACGAGTGAACGCTTTAACCACTAGGCTATCCCCCCCTCCCAAAGGAATCCTAGAATTGCATGAATCGTAACTAATGGTTGATTTACCATACACATAGTACCCATGAGGGGAATCGAGGCTGGGTCTTCGGCGTGACGAGCGAACGCTTTAACCACTAGGCTATCCCCCGTCCCAAAGGAATCCTAGAATTGCATGAATCGTAACTAATGGTTGATTTACCATACACATAGTACCCATGAGGGAAATCGAGCCTGGGTCTTCGGCGTGACGAGTGAACGCTTTAACCACTAGGCTACCCCCCCTCCCAAAGGAATCCTAGAATTGCATGAATCGTAACTAATGGTTGATTTACCATACACATAGTACCCATGAGGGGAATCGAGCCTGGGTCTTCGGCGTGACGAGTGAACGCTTTAACCACTAGGCTATCCCCCCCAAAGGAATCCTAGAATTGCATGAATCGTAACTAATGGTTGATTTACCATACACATAGTACCCATGAGGGGAATCGAGCCTGGGTCTTCGGCGTGACGAGTGAACGCTTTAACCACTAGGCTACCCCCCCTCCCAAAGGAATCCTAGAATTGCATGAATCGTAACTGATGGTTGATTTACCATACACATAGTACACATGAGGGGAATCGAGCCTGGGTCTTCGGCGTGACGAGTGAACGCTTTAACCACTAGGCTATCCCCCCTCCCAAAGGAATCCTAGAATTGCATGAATCGTAACTAATGGTTGATTTACCATACACATAGTACCCATGAGGGGAATCGAGCCTGGGTCTTCGGCGTGACGAGTGAACGCTTTAACCACTAGGCTATCTCCCCTCCCAAAGGAATCCTAGAATTGCATGAATCGTAACTGATGGTTGATTTACCATACACATAGTACATGAGGGGAATCGAGGCTGGGTCTTCGGCGTGACGAGTGAACGCTTTAACCACTAGGCTATCCCCTCCCAAAGGAATCCTAGAATTGCATGAATCGTAACTAATGGTTGATTTACCATACACATAGTACCCATGAGGGGAATCGAGCCTGGGTCTTCGGCGTGACGAGTGAACGCTTTAACCACTAGGCTATCCCCTCCCAAAGGAATCCTAGAATTGCATAAATCGTAACTAATGGTTGATTTACCATACACATAGTACCCATGAGGGGAATCGAGCCTGGGTCTTCGGCGTGACGAGTGAACGCTTTAACCACTAGGCTATCCCCCCTCCCAAAGGAATCCTAGAATTGCATGAATCGTAACTAATGGTTGATTTACCATACACATAGTACCCATGAGGGGAATCGAGCCTGGGTCTTCGGCGTGACGAGTGAACGCTTTAACCACTAGGCTATCCCCCCTCCCAAAGGAATCCTAGAATTGCATGAATCGTAACTAATGGTTGATTTACCATACACATAGTACCCATGAGGGGAATTGAGCCTGGGTCTTCGGCGTGACGAATGTACGCTTTAACCACTAGGCTATCCCCCCTCCCAAAGGAATCCTAGAATTGCATGAATCGTAACTAATGGTTGATTTACCATACACATAGTACCCATGAGGGGAATCGAGCCTGGGTCTTCGGCGTGACGAGTGAACGCTTTAACCACTAGGCTATCCCCCCTCCCAAAGGAATCCTAGAATTGCATGAATCGTAACTAATGGTTGATTTACCATACACATAGTACCCATGAAGGGAATCGAGTCTGGGTCTTCGGTGTGAAGAGGGAATGCTTAAACCCCTGAGGCAGCCCACTCCCCGTTAAGTGGTAAGAGCTAGCCGAGTTTACAGTTTGTAAATACTAGAGTCTGAAGCAGACAGTTCAGTGATCAGCATTATGAGCATTGATCTACGCAACTGGGATACGAGGTCATGTGTCAACAAAGTCAGCAACCCTGACCACCCGATCCAGTTAGTCGCCTCTTACAACAAGCATGGCTTGCTGAAGAACTCACTGTACCTGGTGTCTATCCTCAGATATCCGGACTAAAAAAAGCCATAATGAAGGATAATAGCCCCTCTAATTATAAAATCGTTGGTTTTGGTTGTCTTTAAGTGTTCCTTTCACACCCCAATTACCAAGCCATGGGTTATGTTTAAGTGGCCACTGGAGTAGACAATATCACTCAGCTTGTGGATGGTACATTGATCTACCGTTACATTCTCAACAACGTCTTTTGGATCGCCTTCATGAGTTGGAGCACCTCCCTCCATTTCGATGTATATGAAATACTCAGTGTTTCGCTTGAAAAATCTGGGTTCCAGGAGCCAGTACTGGAGAATGTTATTTTTCCCCGATGGTTTGATTTTGGGTGGAAAAACTGTCTCGCGTTTCACATCCATAAAGTTCGCTGTCCGGTCACAGATTCTGATGTGGTAGACTATGGCTTTGTTCTGGTCGTGTCCATATAAGGAGATCCCGTAGAGAATGATGTCATGGGAACAGGAGACGTCAGTTCTTCCCCAGAATGACTGCTTCCTCGTCTGAGGCATCTTCCGGTGTTCTTTATAAAACACCACGTTGTGAGTTGGTTTTGCAGATCGCCGGAGGAATGGAGACGGGTCTTTCTCTGGGCACAGCAAACATGACATAATTTTCACATTTTCCGCATCTGTTAAAATCCCTCTCGGTACAACGTTGTCGACGTAAAACTCCTTGTCCATACTGGTGAAGGGAATCCCGTAGACTGTTTCACCCAGGAGAGATCTGAGGTTCCTGGGAGTTATCTCCCTTCCTTTCCGGGCACATTCGGCCTCCATCCATGCAATGGCAGACTGATACACGTTTTCAGCCTTGATGGAAAGCTCGTCAACCAGGATGACTTTGTCAAAGCATTCATGGCACAGCTGTGTGAAACTTTCATTGCCAAAGGATACGTCGCCAAACGCAATGACACGATCAAATGCTTTATCGTAGAGATCTTTCTCATCAAACCTGTGCGCATGCTCAAGGATGAGACAGGCATTCTCAGCACTCAGGCAGTCTTCTAGATAGGTGAGGCACAGACTCTCAAGACCCCCCCACAGCGTACTTCTTGGCCAGGTACAGCAATCCAGTCACGTTCTCTGGTGTCAGGTGTACGTCGTTTGTGTACAGGTACCTGTTAATGAAAGTTTCCATTTGAGTGAGTTTTTACCTTTTAGCAATATTCTATCAATATCACAGCGGGGGGGACACCAGAAATGGGCTTCACGCTTTGTACCCATATGGGGAATAGAACCCAGGTCTTAGGCGTGACGAGCCAACGCCTTAACCACTAGGCTACCCCACCGCCAGTTTCCATTTGAGACACAGAAGATGACGTATTACCTGCATGAATCTACAGAATTAATTCCTGAAACAGGAATATATCACAACGAGATCTATCACTACAAATGAATGTAGTAAATTTATGGATGATAGTTACTGAGTGAGTGAATATGGTTTTACGCCGTATTTGGCGATATTTCAGCAGCATCACGGCGGGGGACATCAGAAATAGCGTTAACACATTGAAGCCATTCATATATTTGATCGTCAAATCCAAGTTTCACAATGAGTAATATACTATAGATACCGAATAGCGTCTAATCATATTTCATGACATCATTCATATTTTAAATCCAACGCTGTAGAAACTATGAAGGAATTAGTATGGCTTTACGCCTCTTTCAGAAATGTTCCAACAATACCCACAATTCGTACAGTGTAAGTATTTACAACCCCGTGAAGATCCAGGTTAGAATTGATCTTCAGTAACCCATGTTCATCGTAAGAGGCGACTAACAGGATCGGGTGGTCAGGTTCGCTGACTTGGTTGACACATGCCATCGTGTCAGATGTAGGTGTTTGATGCTCATGTCAATCACTGGATTGTCTGGTCCAGATTCGGTTATTTACAGACCGCCGTCATATAGCTAGGAAATTGCTGACTGGCGTGTTAAACAATTAACAAACAAACAGTATGAATTCATACTACATCTACTTACGTTAACAGCTCGGAGAACGTGTCTGCATCAACATCCGATATCCTAATGGCATCTCTCTCAGCCAAAGGGCCACACAGCATGGCTTCGAACACACAACTGCGACTGATAAGCACGTAGCGGTGAGCTCGGACTGTCGTTTCCCGTTTGCCAACCCGGAAGTGGACGTCACAGTATTTCTCTGTTTTCAGCATGTGGAGATTACTTTCTACCACATTCCTCCCGCTCTGCCAGTTTTCAACAAACCCAGAATCTGCAGCCATATTAGCGGATCTGAAACAGAAAACAAAACAGGTCCAGATGAGCAATGACTGAATGTTATTGTAAGGCGCAGTAGGAGTGAGTGAGTTAGATTAGTTTTACTCCGCTTTTAGCAATATTCCAGCAATATCACAGTCGTGGACACTAGAAATAGGCTTCAAACATTTTGCCCATATGGGGAGTCGAACCCGGGTCTTTGAGACTAGCGAACGCTTTAACCACTAGGCTATCCCATCGCTAAAAATATTGCTAAAAGCGGCGTAAAACCATACTCACTCACTCATGTGAGAGGAAGGCCTGGAGTGATAAAGGACAGATGTTTACCACTTTGGTAACACAAACTAGCATGGATAATGTTGCTGACAAACCTTGAAACATAATTTGTAGGGGTGACTATTGAGGGGGAAACAACTACTGCGATAGTGATAGTCTATTGCAACATACTGTTGCGACGTAGCGATAGTATATTGCGACTAACTATTGCAAAAACATTGCAATATTTAGTTGATTTTTCCTTGAATTGTCTCATTTTAAAATCATTTCCCTAATAAATGTATAGTTTATATGAAGAAAACACAAGTTGAAGTTATAAGTCTCTTTTAATAACTAACAAGAAACTTGAAACCCAGATCAAGTAAACAGTTATAACATAAACTCAATGGAGATGCAAGTCTGCGCCCAAACATCCTGTATTTTACGCTGCGCATTTATCAGTGAAAATTAATTACTAGACTATCGATAGTCATACATATTACTGATGCATCCATAGTGTTTCGTTTCTACCATCGCTTGACTGATATCGGAAGCTCAGCAATCGCAATCCATCCATAATTCGATGCATCGTTAGTAATTCGTTACAGCCCTAATAATTTGGGTGAACTGAAATTCAAATCCACAGTCTGAAATGCCAGAACGACCTCATTTTTTCAAGTAACGGAAAGAGAAATCTGGTGGTCTGGAAAACCATACGTGTAACTGTGCAGAATCTATTACTGACTTAAGAACACGACAGCCAATTTCATCAATTAACTCAAAATCTCCCCAACCATCCTATGATGATCTTATTTCGTTCATTCAAAACGAAATGGTCACATTGAACAAGACTGACTGACTGAGTTTGGTTTTACGCCGCTTTTAGCAATATTACAGCAACATCGCGGCGGGGGGACACCAGAAATGGGCTTCACACATTGTGCCCATGTGGGGATTCGAACCCGGGTCTTCGGCGTGACAAGAGAACTCTTTAACCATTAGGCTACCCCACCGCCCCACACTGAACAAGAAACGAAGAAGAGCAGTGAGACCGCCTCGTCTATGTCGCATTAAAATCTATGCACAAATTGAGTCAGAGTGTCAAAAAAAAACAACCCCACACATGACTATATGACTAGAGTGATGACATTAAAGCAGTGTGCGAAATAGCCACTGGCCCGCTAGCCGCTAGCTAGTAAAAATCCAGTCGGGCCAATAAATCTCCACAGTCGCTAGCCCGACTGGCTAGTGAATTTTCATAAAAGCAATGACCAACAAACTTAATAAAGACAAACATATCTGAATAATGTTCTCGATTCTCATTTATTGTAATTCTTATTACATTTCACAACCTTCGCTGTAGAGTCGAGCATGCTCTTTCTACCAAGATTTCACAGAGGGCCATGCGACTCTCTTACTAAGAACCTGTTCAATGTTACGACATTCAAAACTTGTGACAGTAATGCTTTCAACAGTTTGTGGACGACATTTCCCAATTTGAGCCCGTAAAGATCCGGATTAGATAGAAGTGATTTTCAGTAATCCATGCTTGTCGTAACAGGGATCGTGTTGTCACGCTCGCTGACTTGGATGACATATGTCATCGTATCCCATCGATGCTCATGCTGTTGATCATTTGATTGTCTGGTTCAGACTCGATTATTTACAGACCGCCGCCTTATAGCTGGAACATTGCCGAGTGCGGCGTAAAACTAAACTCACTCTAAATTCGACGCATTAGCAACAAAATAATTTGTCAGATTCGATTTCTTATTTTGACCTTACCATATATTCTCGTGGTGAATTTTTCGATGAAAAAATTGGCTTGCCTTTGTATATATTTGTGATGGGTGCCACGAACAGGCAGGCTAGACCACCTTTTCGAGATCATTTATCACAGTTTGATAGTGATTCATAGGCTTTTATCTTGAAATTAATACATTAAGCCCTTTGAATTCGACAAAGAATATCAAAATGTGATGACATGGTACTTCATAGGACTATCCCAGACCATGTGTATGTTGGGTACGTAATTTAGTTTAACCTACATACATACAAGGGTATTATAAAATGTGAAGAATATTTAGCCATATGGTATATTGAAATACACTGTATTTTAGATTAATACTTCTGTAATAATGTACAAATAATTGTACCTATTTATCATTCCAATGCGGAACACTAACTGTGACACCAAATGGTGACATAAATATGTCAAAATAAGTTACATGTATTTGGTCTATTGGGGATTCTCGTCACAGATTATTTTATAGATGTGTTCTTGAAACTTGGCAGATGAAATCAAGGTGTGGAGATGATATGAAATATGAATTCAAAACGGCAGATTTACGTGAGTACGAATATCCCCTAAATGTCTAAAATTGTAACTTTCTTGATATCCCTTATTATCATAGTCCTTATAAGCTGTACAGAAAATGCAACGTGAATCTTATTTCAGTTTATTCAGATTATTAAGAGCAGTTTATTATAGAACACTAAACTGTGGCTGTACTTTGCCACAACTATAGTTTAAATAGCATATATTTATGGTCGATTGTGCGAAAAACACCTTCAAAAACAGCAACTATAGTACTGTCGGAAATAGAAAAAAACTGTTTTGAGGCTGTTACTCTGTATCCCTAAAATTGACACAATTGCAAATAGCATATGTCTAAATAACCTATATTGGCCTAACTGAGCGTTCAGTGGGATGCGTAATAAGATATCCAGAAAAGCATGTTTACTCGTAAAATCGGGCGAAACTTAGAAAAAAATACGAATAGCTGCTGAAAACAATAGATCAGACTATAGATGGCAATTAGGTCGCTCAGCCAGGTATGATGACGGACCGTCGACTCACTTGACATGAAATGCACGTGCTGCCCACAGACACAAGGGGTCATCTCAGATATATTTTATGCTTTTTCATGTGTATTGAATATGTCTCTATTGATTATCTTATCGTAGCTAATGACTCCATCCCAAAGCCCGACCCCAACTACTGTCAGCAACACCTGTCTCGGTGTTGCTTTTGAGACGACCCCTCCTACCTGTTTCTTTTTATAGTGATAGTGAGACTCAATGGTATCTATATCCTTAATAGTTTCAGTATTAAAATTGTTATTTTTTACGTCTGCTTTAGTTTATAATAAAACTAAGTCTAATTTCATATTGGATATTCAAAAAGTGTCATTTGTTATACTATATCATCGCACACTAATTTGCATAAAGCCATGGTCTGCTCCAAATAAGTCGCTTCAGACACTGAATAAAACCGCATTGCTCATTTCTGCACTAATCTCTCCTCAGTAAAATCCTTCTCTAACATTTCCTATCTCCCTCCCACTGAGACTGTAGTTAGGCCGAACTTAGTTTAACAGATTTTTCACACTTTCACATATTAACTACCTAAATTGTAGATATAAATGTGAAAAAACAGTTTTTTTCTATTTCCGACAGTACTATAGTTTTGTTTTCGATCTGGAATTATGTATTCAACATTTTAGTAAAGCACCAACATGCATGCAACATGCACCCTTTGAGGTTTTAGGAAATGTAAGAAATGGGAAAAGGAAGTCCACAAAGTCACTCTATTTGCAGAATAACAGGCATATTTTAGGGGCAACCATTACCCCAAATAGAACATCTGATACAATATACATGACAATAAGAGGAGATAGCAATATTAGTAAGATTCGAGTGCTAGGCTTATAGGATAAAAGGCTTGCAGCATGTCTCTCCAATTATGTCTTTCTAAATACTTGAAAGTTGAAAAGATAAAAAAGTTCAAATTTCAGTTTGAAATGCTAAAATGCTGAAATCTGGTGTCTTTGTTGGGCTTATGAAATGTTGAAATTAGGAAAATCTATCAGTTGTATCAGAAACAAATATCCCATAAATCAAACATTAAACACAAGTTTAACCATATTCCCTGTTATAGCAATACCCTGTCACTGAAATTGAGGATTCTCTATACACTTAAACTGGCAATGGTTTAGACTTAGAATTTTGGAAAATATCATCAAGATATAGTTCCTTCAGGAAAGAGTAAATGTCCAGTTTATTATTGTTGTTTGGGGAGTTGGTGTGTTGTTCTTTTATTCGTTGTTCTGTTTTGTTTTATTGGGTGTGTGTCTTTTGGTTTAGTTTGACGTTTTTTGGGTGTGTGATTTTTCCCCCAACTGTTTCTATATCCTGCCAAAGCATGTATGATTTTGATAGGAAGATATATAGCGTGTGTATCTCATTTGCATCTCTCTTCATGGTTTTCCTTGATCATCTTCAAAGGCACAAATACAAATACACACAAGGCTTCTGATTTCTAAAGGCATTTACTCTCACTTTTGACATGCCTACAAACACACCTCCAACATGTGGTAGTCCCGTACTATTGTTTACCATCAAACTCTCTATATTTACAGAGGATTGTTTGTATGGGTTTTACAATTACACACACTTTCCTAATACTTACTTAGTCACCCACATTTCCAAGCCAGGCTCTACTAACTACATCCTTAAACCCTGTTCAATTCCAAAGAGACATATCCATGGAGTGGTAAGACTTGTGACTAATTAATAATTTGAACCCTAACATTTCGCCTGCTAATTACTGTATTTCCTTTGAAGATACTTTTCCTTACCTGATTTGGGAGGACCAATATTGATTTGAGCTACAAGAAAAACATGCACTGACAATGTTCCTAATGACAGCATAATATATGATAATACGTGACGGTATTTGTGTAAAATAACAATAATCTGGAAGTGATAATTTCTGTAATATTTCGACCCAACTGTCCTAAAAAGATTCAAAATTGGCAGGTGCCTATTTTCAGGCTTACATCGCCCTTGTATAAATATAATAGCTCGGAAAAAAACATTTGTCTGAATTTCAAGTTAAAATTATATCTGTATCACGGAACAAAAGTCCAAGTCCAAGGTATACAACAGTATGTCTGAATTAAAAATAAAAAGAACTACTGTACCGCTGTGATCATAGTTTGATGACCTTCCATGTACGAGAGATAACTCTGCCAGCAAACCAACAAAATTGTCCCATGATTTTAATGAGGGCTTGACGTCGGGGGTTAAAAAAATCACTGCACTGAAAGTACATTTGTATTCAGATTCTCGTCTTAGATCTGCTGACCGTGGATAAAGAGGACAGTCCGCTGCTGATTACTCGGACACCTAAAAAGGCTCTACCGTCGATAAGGAACATTCGCCATGAGTCATCGAAAATTGGAGTAGTTGGAGCAAAATGTCCGACAGATACATCGCACATATATAACTAAATTAACTTATAGCTATATTACCTTGAACACATACACGAAACAACCGAAATACGTTCGAAGAAAGCAGTCTCGTCTGTTGTAAATATTAACAAGGTGAAGGTGACTCACGTGACATATCACCTTCCAAGCTCCTTAGCGATCACAGCGTTGTCGTGGAGCTTACAATGAACAGCAAGGGTCTATCACTCAACAGATTATAGTTTGCGAAACCACGGACTGTGCTGGTGCAGCATTATACCCGAACCACGGTCTAGCTGTGCTGGTGTAGCATTATACCCGAACCACGGTCTGCCCGTGAGTGTAGCATTATACCCGAACAACTGCGTGGCTGTGCTGGTGTAGCATAATACCCGAACCACAGTTTGGTAGTGCTGGTGTAGCATTATACCCGAACCACGGTCTGGCTGTGCTGGTGTAGCAATATACCCGAACTACGGTCTTGCTGTGCTGGTGTAGCATAATACCCGAAACACGGTCTGGCTGTGACTGTAGCATTATACCCGAACCACGGTCTGGCTGTGCTGGTGTAGCATTATACCCGAACCACGGTCTGAATGTGCTGGTGTAGCATTAAACGCGAACCACGGTCTGGCTATGCTGGTGTAGCAATATACCCGAACGACTGCCTGGCTGTGCTGGTGTAGCATTATACCAGAACCACAGTCTGGCTGTTTGGTGTAGCATTATACCCGAACCACGGTCTGACTGTGCTGGTGTAGCATTATACTCGAACCCAGACCTGGCTGTGCTGGTGTAGCAATATACCCGAACCACGGTCTGGCTGTGCTGGATGAGCATTATACCCGAGCCAAGACCTGGCTGTTCTGGTGTAGCATTATACCCCAACTACGGTCTGGCTGTGCTGGTGTAGCATTATACACGAACCACCGTCTGGCTGCGCTGGTGTAGCATCACACACGAACCACGGTCTGGCTGTGCTGGTGTAGCAATATACCCGAACTACGGTCTTGCTGTGCTGGTGTAGCATAATACCCGAAACACGGTCTGGCTGTGACTGTAGCATTATACCCGAACCACGGTCTGGCTGTGCTGGTGTAGCATTATACCCGAACCACGGTCTGAATGTGCTGGTGTAGCATTAAACGCGAACCACGGTCTGGCTATGCTGGTGTAGCAATATACCCGAACGACTGCCTGGCTGTGCTGGTGTAGCATTATACCAGAACCACAGTCTGGCTGTTTGGTGTAGCATTATACCCGAACCACGGTCTGACTGTGCTGGTGTAGCATTATACTCGAACCCAGACCTGGCTGTGCTGGTGTAGCAATATACCCGAACCACGGTCTGGCTGTGCTGGATGAGCATTATACCCGAGCCAAGACCTGGCTGTTCTGGTGTAGCATTATACCCCAACTACGGTCTGGCTGTGCTGGTGTAACATTATACACGAACCACCGTCTGGCTGCGCTGGTGTAGCATCACACACGAACCACGGTCTGGCTGTGCTGGTGTAGCATTATACCCAAACCATGGTCTGACTGTGCCGGTGTAACACCCAACCCCAACCATGCGGTGACTGTGCTGGTGTAGCATTATACCCGAATCACGGTCTGGCTGTGCTGGTGTAGCATTATACCCGAACTACGGTCTGGCTGTGCTGGTGTAGCATTATACCCGAACCACAGTTTGGCAGTGCTGGTGTAGCATTATACCCGAACCACGGCCTGGCTGTGCTGGTGTAGCATTATACCCGAACCACAGTTTGGCAGTGCTGGTGTAGCATTATACCCGAACCACGGTCTGGCTGTCCTGGTGTAGCAATATACCCGAACCACGGTCTGGCTGTGCTGGTGAAGCATAATACCCGAAACACCGTCTGGCTGTGACTGTAGCATTATACCCGAACCACGGTCTGGCTGTGCTGGTGTAACATTATACCCGAACCGCGGTCTGGCTGTGCTGGTGTAGCAATATACCCGAACGACTGCCTGGCTGTGCTGGTGTAGCATTATACCAGAACCACGGTCTGGCTGTGTTGGTGTAGCATTATACCCGAACCACGGTCTGACTGTGCTGGTGTAGCATTATACTCGAACCCAGACCTTGCTGTGCTGGTGTAGCATTATACCCGAACCACGGTCTGAATGTGCTGGTGTAGCATTAAACGCGAACCATGGTCTGGCTATGCTGGTGTAGCAATATACCCTAACGACTGCCTGGCTGTGCTGGTGTAGCATTATACCCGAGCCAAGACGTGGCTGTTCTGGTGTAGCATTATACACAAACTACGGTCTGGCTGTGCTGGTGTAGCATTATACACGAACCGCCGTCTGGCTGCGCTGGTGTAGCATCACACACGAACCACGGTCTGGCTGTGCTGGTGTAGCATTATACCCAAACCATGGTCTGGGTGTGCCGGTGTAACACCCAACCCGAACCATGCGGTGACTGTGCTGGTGTAGCATTATGCCCAAACTACGGCCTGGCTGTGCTGGTGTAGCATTATACCCGAATCACGGTCTGGCTGTGCTGGTGTAGCATTATACCAGAACCACAGTTTGGTTTAAGGCCGGTGTACCATTATACCCGAACTACGGTCTGGCTGTGCTGGTGTAGCATTATAACCGAACTACGGTCTGGTTGTGCTGGTGTAGCATAATACCCGAACCACGACCTGGCTGTTCTGGTGTAGCATTATACCCGAATCACGGTCTGGCTGTGCTGGTGTAGCATTATTCCCGAACCACAGTTTGGTTTAAGGCCGGTGTAGCATTATACCCGAACCACGGTCTGGCTGTGCTGGTGTAGCATTATACCGGAACCACGGTCTGGCTGTGCTGGTGTAGCGTTATACCCGAACCACGCTCGCTGTGTTGGTGTAGCATTATACCCGAACCTCGGTCTGGCTGTGCTGGTGTAGCGTTATACCCGAACCATGATCTGGCTGTGCTGGTGTAACATTATACCCGAACCACAGTTTGGCTGTGCTGGTGTAGCATTATACCCGAACCACGGTCTGGCTGTGCTGGTGTAGCATTATACCCGAACTACGGTCTGACTGTGCTGGTGTAGCATTATACCCGAACCACAGTCTGGCTGTGTTGGTGTAGCGTTATACCTGAATCACGGACTGGCAGTACTGGTGTAGCATTATACCCGAACCACAGTTTGGCTGTGCTGGTGTAGCATTATACTCAAACCACGGTCTGGCTGTGCTTGTGTAGCATTATACCCGAACCATAGTCTGGCTGTGCTGGTGTAACATTATACCCGAACCACAGTTTGGCTGTGCTTGTGAAACATTATACCCGAACCACAGTTTGACTGTGCTGGTGTAGCATTATATACGAACCACATTCTGGCTGAGCTTGTGTAGCATTATACCCGAACCACAGTCTGGCTGTGCTGGTGTAGCGTTATACCCGAACCACAGTCTGGCTGTGCTGGTGTAGCGTTATACCCGAACCACAGTCTGGCTGTGCTTGTGTAGCATTATACCCGAACCACGGTCTGGCTATGCTGGTGTAGCGTTATACCCGAACCACAGTCTGGCTGTGCTGGTGTAGCGTTATACCCGAACCACTGTCTGGCTGTGCTGGTGTAGCATTATACCCGAACCACAGTCTGGCTGTGCTGGTGTAGCATTATACCCGAACCACAGTCTGGCTGTGCTGGTGTAGCATTATACCCGAACCACAGTTTGACTGTGCTGGTGTAGCGTTTTACCCGAACCACAGTCTGTCTGTGCTGGTGTAACATTATACCCGAACCACGGTCTGGCTGTGCTGGTATAGCATTATACCCGAACCACAGTTTGACTGTGCTGGTGTAGCAGCACACTATAACCATGGCCTGGCTGTGCTGGTGTAGCGTTATACCCGAACCACTGTCTGGCTGTGCTGGTGTAGCATTATACCCGAACCACAGTCTGGCTGTGCTGGTGTAGCATTATACCCGAACCACCGTCTGGCTGTGCTGGTGTAGCGTTATACCCGAACCACAGTCTGTCTGTGCTGGTGTAACATTATACCCGAACCACGGTCTGGCTGTGCTGGTGTAGCGTTATACCCGAACCACAGTCTGACTGTGCTGGTGTAGCGTTATACCCGAACCACAGTTTGGCTGTGCTGGTGTAACAGCACACTATAACCATGGCCCGACTGTCCTGGTGGAGCATCCCTGAATTATATCCTCTAAACCCGAAATCTGTTCAAAACGGCGATGAAACAAACTTATTCAATAACCAATTTCGGATTTATGTTTTAAATCCCCAGTTTATTCACCCGTTTTCTGACACTACGAAAATAAGAAATATGTATAATTTCATTTGTGCTTTCAGCAAGCTGATTAAGGTCTGGACTTCGGACTTCTGAATTGTCCGAAGACAATCTTAATCCAAAAATTGTTAATGCTTAGGACTTCATGAGTGAGTGTGTTTAGTTTAAGGCCGCTTTTAGCAACATTCCTGCAATATTACGGCCAAGGTAACCGGCCTACATGAAAATGTCTGCATGGTCCTTTCCAGTTTTGATATTTTCTTTGCAGAGAGGAAGAAGTCTTCGGAAAACTGCTAACTCAGCTTCTTGGTTGGAAAGCAGGTTTGTAAACTGGAGCTGAAATATATTTTAAAAAAAAATTAAAATAACATTCTTACAAAAAAGTACACAAATAGATTGCCCGTTATGTAAAGTCATGACACTTATTGATGATGGAGAAATATGCACATACATCTTGGTCTTGGTCTTGGCCGTGGATCCTGTGGGCGTGGCCTTTGAACAGGGGGTGATGTTGGGTTTCCTTGAGAAGGCGGGGGAGGGAACCAGCTTTTTTGTCCTGCAACAGAAAATATTTATGATCGTTTATGGACAGGTTAATAATATAATTTATGCTTTAATAGACTATAAAGCATTTCGATGGATTCTTCTCTTTCTGAAATGAATGAAATTAGAAATCGGGAAATCGTTATTAAAATATTATCTTAGCTGTTTGTATTTAACATTGAAATCTTCTAAGTAACGATTTCCAGGATTACCTATTGTTTGAGTTTGGAAGCCGACCCGTGAAGATCCGGGTCAGAATTGGTCTTCAGCAACGCATGCCTGTCGTAAGAGGCGACCAACGACTCGCTGACTTGGTTGACACATGTCATCGTATCCTAACTGCGTACATCGATGCTCATGCTGTTGATCATTGGTCTATGTGGTCCAGACCCGATTATTTACCGATCGCCATATAGCTGGGATATTGCTGAGAGCGTTGTTTGAGAGTCGACATGTTGGCAACAGTTTAAATAGAACATATAAATAACGTGATGTTTAGGATTAGACTTTCTCAGTAGGTATCAAATAATCTGATAATTTCTAGTACATCTTTTTTTTTTTAAAACAAAAAAGAGCTAGTCCAGCCCATGCACTCTGACCATTATAAACTAACACGATACCCATTTTCGAAAGCTATGAATATACAATGCATTTAAGAAAACAGTCAAATTAACATGACATTGTTATATACTGGACAAAATAATTTAGGGATATTGGTATTGTTATGATTGATATTTTATCAATGTGTCAATGAATAAATACATCATTATTCATAATTTCAAAATTTACATATATCCCTAACAATTTTTTGTCCAGTAAATACTGGGGATTATACTTTCCCACGAAAGTACAAATCCTAGCAGTTCCGGCCGGGGGTTTGTTGTTATCGAATTCCATCCGGGACTCTAACCCACATTCTCAGAGCGAGGCATCAGCTTTATTGCACACTTACAGGCATTCCACCTGTAACCCTCATGGTTACAAATAGATCTCAGTGGATCAGTTTACTGTTGTTACTATTTTGATCAAAGTAAATGAGTTGGTTGTAAAGATTCACATGGGAGGATACTAGTGGAGCTGCAAGACTCCGACACAACGCAATGTTATTTCGGAAAATACCAAATCAATTTCTTAAATACTCTTTTGTGTATACGCAATATAATACAAAGCCGGGGATGTATTATATTGGCTCTCTGTTACATATATTCACGAGATCATATTGTCACCACCTACCTTTCCCAGACATTCTCGCGTTCAGTTCAGCCTTCCCGATCTGAGTCGAATGAAAACCGAGCTCCAGGCGATGTCGTCGGTGTCATTGCGTGAATCTATTTTTAGCGTGTTGGTATTTCCCATCCAAGCGCGCCTGGGAACAAGCCTGGGTATTTTCCACTCTCCGTATTTACTGACCTCGCAGCAAAACACCACTGCGTCAGGCGAATAGGATTGACATAAAAAAGATCGGCCTAATGCAAGCTTTTAAGTGTGTTCTTCATATTGTTTTGCAGTTTATTGCTGATAGTATTCTATTACAACTGAGACAGTGGTGTGCGCATATTTATACATACTGTGAGACGAACTTAAGAATAATGCCGACCTGTCATTTGAACCGGTCAATCTGAATAGCGGTGCAGTCCATTTTACCATTAAGGGGCCGAGGGTATTTAAAGCGATAAACTGCTGTGAAGCCTGTCAGTCTACTCTCGCTCTACTGGAACGGGTTCTATTTGCAAATACTATTTTGCATGCTATTTTGCGGTTGACCATTTCCATACACAACCAAATACAACACTCGAATGTTTCATGTGTTTAACGATAAAAAAATACCAAACGGTTAATTTCTGTCCTAGCCTAGGTTCTGTATGTGTGAATATTTTATGGATAATACGTTTACCCAATTTAGAGTGCGACATGATAAGTTTCAAATATCTGCAGAGTTTAATACTCTTTTAACAGCCCACTTTACAAGATACTATTATACAAATGCCCAAGCAGAAACACGACGCTTCCGAATCATTGCGTAGAAAGTGATTACTGCAAGGATCACAAAAATCACGCGCGCGAAGTTTTCATACCTGTTCCCCCTTCGAGTAGGTAGTGGATCAGTTCACGGCACGCTCCCCACTCTCCTTTCACAAACGCGTCTTTCGCGCACCTCATTTTAATGTTGGTTGGACAGTACAAGCGGCTGTATCGGTCGCTAACTCTCCACATGGCTTCTATCACAGCATGTTGAACCGTACTTGTTACCGATATAAATATACGTTAGCGACGCTAATGGAAATTGTGTTTCACGTTTTCGGTTGATCTCGTAATGAAAGTAAACCATTTTATTACAGATGTGTATTTAGATTTTGTGATGACTCATCAAAAATGAAACAGATGAAACACGTGCAAGATCTTGACTGGACTTTGTAAGATGTGGCGAAGCGTCTCGTGTCACTGAGTGATATATCCGGGTATTCCTGCCTCTTTTCTCAACAGGTATATTGTCACTCATGGAAAAGGGAAAGGACGTCACATGTAGCTGACTTCTCGCAAGTTCTCAATTCTCCAGGGCCTAGATTTTCGAAGCTCTCTTAGCGCTAAGATCGTCGTAAGTTAACGTTAATGTATGGCACTTACGACTATCTTAGCGCTAAGAGAGCTTCAATAATATAGGCCCATGCAGGAATCCACGTGGTCCTTTTCTTCACATGGGAACGTTCTTGATAACGAGCAAGTGTGCGTGCGTGGAGGGTCGGACGGATCGAGGGAGGGATTGGCTGGATGTATAAAAGAGCGAGATTGAGAGAGTGACTGTGTGTGTATGTTTCAATTCAACATTTTGAGTAGGTTTTCCAACTTTGATTATGTAATGTACGTATCGATGTCTGTATGTATGTGTGTAGGTAGGTAGGTAGGTATGTGTGCATGTACAGTTGTATATGCATACATGTAACACCCAAACGAGTATAATGGAACAGTCCACTGTCTAGTGAGTAGAGCAGGGTGAGCCTAAAACAGGTTCGTTACTGAGAAGTTTGATTGTGTGTAAATAGAACTTTGTTTGATTAAATGATAAATGATTTCTCTTCTAAATATTTATTTTACTATCAATTACTATCGAATGTAAAAACAGGTTTGTCACTGAGAGTTTTGATTGTGTTTATTGATAGAAAAGACCCATCCCAATAATAGCATATGTACAACAGACGTTAACTGAAAACGTTTTGTTGGAGAGATATAGATATGTACATATTTGAAAACATTCTGATTTGCAGTAAATGAGACACCTGCATTGCTATGTAAGATACGATTAATACCAATCGGTGTTCTAATTTCAACAATCCTTTCTAAAGATTGTAACAGTTTATGTCTTTGAGTAGTATACAACGGGCATTCAAGGAAGTAATATAAAACATTCTCACACCCATGGCCACATTGACATGATGCGTCATATTTTAAATATTTATTCTAAATAAATCGTAATTAAGTGCACTCGTCATATATCTTAATATTGTGTGCAAAACATATAACTTCTATATTCCACATGAATAATATTTAGGTTCACATTTGTCTATATTTGATTTATATGATACAACAGTGTCGCAAATTTCTAATAGCTAAGCTAATGTTTTCAATATGATGATGCCGACTCCTGTTAGACTAGAAGGTTAACCGAAATGTTTATGAAAATAAACTGTTTTTATATTGCCGCAATCAAAATTCAAATTACTGTCTTTTCGTCCATCTTTCGAAATAAATAATATAGCTTCAGTTTGTTCCTGTGTTTTTATTTGGACTATTCTATTATAATGTGTAGGTAACAGGTAGTAGATAATCTGTTCACTGAACCGTAAATGTTGTTGTTTTAAGGTGTCTGTGAACTGGATGTCTGCGTAATGGGAGGACACCTTGTAACTTACACGATTAACGACATTCGCGTACATTTACGATAAAAAGAACACATCTTAATACGTATATGATGAGAAATGAACGTTGTGACCACACCGTATATTCATGAAGTTATTAGAAATACGACCAATACAACTTTATCAAATAATACAAATACAAGCAGTACGCAACATCTCTGGCGCATGGCGGCACCCTGTAAATAAGTGAGTCTGAACAAGACGGGCTGACAAGTTCTAACCCAGACCTTCACATAATGATGATGATAATGTTGATGATGATTTGATGTTTAATCTGATCTTCACGGGTCGGCGTGATACAGCCATCTGGATAAGTCTTTGTCATACAGCGAAACAACGTTAATCGGAGTTGTGAGTGAGTGAGTGACTTTAACCCGGGTCTTCAGCGTGACGAGCGAACTCTTCAACCACGAGGCTACCCCACCGAACTAATCAGGGTAGTACTTGTCTGTCAAGTATTTTGAATCAGGATTCTGTTCACTTTCCTTCCGACCAATTCCCTCCGACCGTTGTCATTATCCCCCGCAACGCGTTTTGCGGGGGTATTAAAATGGACTCCGTCCGTGCGTCCGTCCGTCCGTGCACATTTGTCATTTCCGGAGCATAACTCTAAAACCATTCAATGTTTCTTCACCAAACCAGGCACATAGATAGATCTGGTGGTGTACTGGTGCCTTTTGGTAGTTTTGATTTCTGAATCAAACATTTTTTGCGTTTCCATGGCAACAAGTTTGACTTAGACTGAAATTGGTGGTAGTACTCTTTTCCGGAGCTTAACTCTAAAACCATTCAATGTTTCTTCACCGAACCAGGCATATAGATATATCTGGTGGTCTACTGCTGCCCTTTGGTATTTTTGGATTTCTGAATAAAATAGTTTTTGCGTTTCCATGGCAACAAGTTTGACTTCAACTGCATTTGGTGGTAGTGCTCCTTTCTGGAGCAGAACTTTGAAACCTTTCAGTACTCTCCTTCCACTTAGCCATATACACACCAAACATTTGACATAATCAAAACTCGTAGACATATATGAAGAATATTTTGCCATTGCGGGGGATATTGATGACTTTGTCTTCTTGTTTATCTTTACCAGTGGTATGGTATTTTACCATACTTATAAAAATTAGACAATAAACAATATCACTCCTTGTGTTAAGGAAAAGCTAATAAAGAACGCCCGGCGTAACGTTGCTTGAGCTGGAACCTTTTAGTCGCATAAAGGCCAAACATGAATCACACCCTAGACACGACCTGGCTGTCCAAGTGTAGCATCATACCCGAAGCTTGTTCCCCCGGTGTTTATATGACGTCACAGTCTGATAAAGAAAAGTGCCAAATTCAAAGATTGGTTGAAATACTGTCACATTTTCAAAGTCACAGTTCCAAAACGTTCTGTCACAAATATTTCTACATATGATGTTATACATGCCTAATTATAACGATTGATATTAGTGTCCGTTTTAGGTGGCCGTAAAGATCATGTTAGAATTGGTCTTCAGCATCCAAGGTTTGTAAGAGGCGAATCGTGTGGTCAGGATCGCCGACTTGTCTGATGCGTGTAAATTGCATTGTACACCAATTGTTTATAGATCGACGCTCATGATATCTATCACTGGATTGTCTGTTCCAGGCTCGATTGTTTACAGACCGCTGTCATCCACCTGGAACATAGTGCGGCTTTAACCAACAAACAAACAAAGTTTGGAAGTGTCCGGGTTGTTGTAGTCGTCAAAACTACATTTTTGGTTATTGTGATTTTCTACATCTGATTAACCAATCATAATCGAATATTTTCCAGGTTCATGGAAGAATATGCGTTAATATTATTTAAATAAAACAATTGCTACGCATAAACAAATAAATTCGACACGCATTTTCATTTCCGTAATCAAAATTTAGATTCACAAAATTTTGTTTACGACAAATGCATAGAGGGCGTCTTCATGATAACATCTTCTGATAAAGAGTTCGAATCCTAGGATCGACTGGATTCTGATGCAGCACATCAATGAGGATACGGCATAAAATGGTCATTCATCCATACGTAATTTCCTGCTAAAACGACCATAGACTCGTGAAGATCCGGGTGAGAATTGATCTTCAGCAACCCATGTTTGTCGTAAGAGGCGACTAACAGGATCGTGTGGTCAGGCTTCCTGACTTGCATGGAGCATGCCATCTTATCCCAATTGCGTAGATCGATGCTCATGATGTCGATCACTGGTTCAGAATATATTATTCATATAACTGGAATATCGCGGCGTTAAACAGCAAACAAACACAAACAAAAGACATATGTAATTCAATCTTCATTAACTTAATACTTTCAGCAGAGTAAGTTTCCACATCTATATTTTAATCATTGCCAGGACCTGTTCAAAGATAACGCCTATCAGTCAGTAAATTCTTATGCCAACATAACGAGATTGTATGTCCGCAAGGCCATTTTACGTTGTAATACTGCCATATCCATTCGTGACCAATTCGTGTTATTCCGGGAGCAGCTCTTGGAGATTACGGAAAGAGGCGAGTGGTGACGAACGGAATGTGCTATGCCGAGTGAGACTTCGGAAAGCCGCCCCCGCTTGTTGTGTGTGTTGCGCGTATCAGTCGAGGTGCTAAAAAAAAGAACATACGGTGTTTTTTTTACATCCTTGGAAAAACTTCAATTGTAGAGATATAAGATACTCCTTCGAGGCAAATTGTGACACTCCATTACTAAAATAAAACTTATAACGTCGCATTTACACCTTTTTGTTTGAGAACATATTTCCAAAGCACCAGGTGTGTACTTTCTTTTGTGCGTCAGTATATTTTCATCCGGCATCATTACTTCAGTTGTCATTTCACCACAACGTGAAGAGAACAATTTATTTTAATAAGAGGGACATTTGGACAATAAAAACCTGTCGTCAAAGGAGAATAACACAAACAGATTTTGACTTTAAACTAGCATGATATCATAAAATGATATCACTATGCAGAAAGATACAATATTCAAACAGCTATAGATCGCTAGCAACGGCAGGAAGATCACCACACCAGGGACCATCAGGACTGACAGGACCTTCGCTACCCAGCTGGATTACACCTTTACCTCATGTTTGGCCGATTCTCAGAAAGTTTGACAAACATTAAAAGAACACATAATCTACTAAAACAATGCTAGATGTATAATAGACTAAATCTGAGTCTCTGAATGTTAAAAGTTTGACAGTAATAAATAATAATCCCATTTAATTTGAAAAGGTGAGGTGAGGTGAAATTGGGTTTAACGTCGTGCTTGAGAATATTTCGCTCATATGACGACGTGCATGCGTGTGTATGTGTATGTGCGGCTGCTTGTACTAGCCCAGACTGAAGCTGGTTTTATAGTGCTAGCCCACTGAGATACCATGCCGCAGTGAAGCATGAATACCCCACTCAGACGCATTATACCGACTCCGAGCCGACCAGTCCTTGTTGTACCCATTAATGCCGAGCGCCAGGCAGGGAGCAACAAGTACCATATTTTAACGTCTTTTGGTATGACGCGGCCGGGTAATTTGAAAAGGAGCCACAGTGAGATAACAGAACCTGAAGAAGTCTAGACTTGCTTCATTTAGGTCTTTAGCATTGCAAGAAGGACTAGGCAGTAGGGGAAATAATGGGGTTCAAGGACTGTGAGACATAACAAATACATACATGTATACACGTTAAATGACATGGTCTTACATACTCTCTGAATGGAATATTTCCTGATGGAATATTCACATACCTGGGGGTGGCCGCGGGGGGTGGCTGCTGTGGAGGTGGTCGGGGAGGAGGGGCCGATCCCTTGTTTCCGACGGGCACATATTGTCCTGTAACAGAGAATAATGGAATGCACGGTTCATAAGTTGCTCATGCCGGATGAAAATATACTGAAGAACAAAAGAAAGTACACACCTGTGCTTTGGGAATATTTTCTCAAACGAAAAAGGCGTAAATATTCTGAAAATTATAGTCATTTCGACTTACACCAACATTGTGTACGTGTACGTTGTTCTGTTCGTCAGTTTATACTGTCCTTATTTGCTTTCTGAAACACAAGGACAGCGATCAAATTATTTTGTTTTTACAGAAAAAGACTCCAAGTACGCGTAATTATAATAGCAGACATGCTCAGAAATATACATTTTGAGCACATGCCTATATCTTGTGTATCGAGAAATCGCTTTTTGATAACATATATTACTAAGTACTTACATTGACCCATTCGCAAACTGCCCATTTCATTATAGAGAAACTCTCATGGCACTCGGACTTCTAATTGCATTAGGGGGCGGCGCATTATCACTAGTGCAGGTATTGGCATACAACCTGCGATACGATACATCGCAATACTAAAATTGTAGTCAATACGATATATTGCCAAAATATTGTGCACTGAAGCTGCGATACGATACGAATCCCAATAAAAGGGTGGCGATACGATACGTATCACGATACCAAAACCTTTCATTCTAACACCAACTATAAAACACCGTAAGATCAAAACAAAACTACATGTATTTTAAAGCATTTTGTCAAATTCCACCAGCGTTTTTCAATGTTAATTCGGAAATGAGATAATTACGTTTATGCACGGACTTTGTGAATGTTAATATAATGCGAGCGCTATGTTTGACACAGTTCCTGGCGCAATAATTTCCGAAAAAACATATGATTTGAAGGGAAAATAAGTATGCATATAGTTTAATCATCAAACAAAAGTAAGTCTTTCTTGACATATATCGGGATTCGGCAATATTCAAAGTAAAACATCGATGTATCGTGGCCCATTTGAAGTATCGTATCGGGATATACGACAATGTAAAACTTTGTATCGATCACTATATCGGCGGCCCATGGATCGATGCGTATCGATGAATCGTCACACCACTACGCTTTAGCCTTGTGGTTAAAGCCTGCGAAGACCGGGGTTCTATTCCCCAGTTGGGTACAATGTGTGACGCCCGTTTCTGGTGTCCCCTGCCATGAAGTTGCTGGAATATTGCTAAAAGGGATATTAAACCCAATTCACTCACTAACCTCATTAGCTTTTCGTTTGTTTTACATCACCGATGACGTCACGATGAAATTCTTGTGGTTGATTCTGAGCCAGGGATTCAGTATCCATTTAGAAGATACTCTTCGAACTAATGAAAATTGATGCATAATTATTCGATGTTATGAATAAATTATATAAGAAACACAACATTGTTTATGTCAGATAAAAGTCTCGCTTTCGGTAATTCCGGAAGGAGAATTAACTCGTCCCTATGGATGTCGTTTATTCTGTGTCGGGAATCAACAGTTTCGAGTGATTTCTCTATTCGGACAACGAATCCCATCTCCTGACAATACAGACTTTGTCTTATGTTCTCCCCAAACCCTTTAATGTAGCCCGTCTGCTGTACGATATTTGTAAAGCATGTGATCAAGGAAAGCAATACAGTTTATTTACTAGTGAGTGAGTATGGTTTTACGCCGCTTTTAGCAATATTCTAGCAATATCATGGCTTGGGGTACAAGACATGGGCTTCAAACATTGCACCCATGTGGGGAATCGAACCCGGCTCTTCGGCGTGACCAGCGGACGCTTTAACCACTAGGCTACCCCACCGCCCCGTATATTTAGTAAAAGGTCATAGGCTCATAATACAGGCAGCGTCTGGTGTTATGAATTACACAGGATAAGTAGATCATCTTTATTCGTTTGATTTGTCCATTGTGTGTTGTTCATATCCGGTGAGCGCTTGGTTTATGTGTCTGTTCGAGTACCTGTGAATTTAGCAGTGAATTTATGACGGCCAAGAACCCCCGCCTGCTGACGCCAGGTACATTATATTAGGCTACACTTGAACTAAATACCTGGCACTACTATCAAAGCCTCTATGACACTCTAGTTTTCCCATTTCAGGTGTCCCCCACCGTGATATTGCTGGAATATTGCTTGAGCGGTGTAAAACTAAACTCACTCACACACTCACTCTAGTTTTCATAGTAAAACAATGATGATCATTAAAATACAGCATGATAAAATTTGAAATTTGTCTAGTTTTCCCATTTTTCGTTTCAAATTGCATGGTTAGCACCAACTTGTCACCTTTATCAACTTTAAGAGGTCACTCGATGAAGAGATAAAAAAATGATCCAACTTGATCAACTTTAAGAGGTCACGATGAGAGAAAAATGATACAATTATCCTTCATAAATTTAACAGGTCAATTTCTAGTAAAATCCATTCTTTAAATATGGTTTATTTGCACAAAGGCGATTTTTAATGGGGTGTAACAACATCCTACACTGGTGGCTAAATCTCAACTGACTTAAACCATTACAGGCGCATGAGTGTTAACAATTAAAGGCTGATGTTTGGGGATTATTTTTAAAGAAACGAAGTAAATGTTTTGAAAAGCGTTTTGACTTTGTGTTAGAAGCCATAGCCACTGTCTGTACACAGGTTGCTAAACTGGGTGCAACTTGTGGTGTACATTCCTGTGTACGTCAGTCTAGTTTATAAATATCAAGAGAAATTTGACATACATGGCTTGCTCCTCCGGCGTTTGAAGTCGCCCACAGTGCTACCGGTTCACTGTCAGTGTTTTCTGGTGCATTTCCAACACAAAACACCTCTCTAGCCTATATCTTGTAGACTGTGTACATTGTAAATGAAACCGCCATGACCCAACTAACTGCAGCTCTCGGGCTGTAGGGAGAAATCTCGAATGGGGTGCATATTATTTCAGCACATTCTACATTGTAATATATATGAATGAGTGTTTTACCAACTATTTGCGTTTTACTTTTATTTCATCATTAAAGTTGAATTTTTTTAAACTGTCAACTTTTCATCACAAAGATTCAAGTAAGGTGGCGGATAGTCAATAATCAGTTCTCTGGAGAGCGCATGCGCAGTTAAATATTACACACCAACCCCAAAGCCTAATCCCTTAAAAACAAGTAAAACAACAGGTAAATTCGAAGTGTACCGAGATTAGCCTACCTGCGAACATCTAAAACTAAAAAGGTCACCTTAACGTGAAACCCCGGAGAGCGGAAGGTCGGGGGTTCAATCCCCGACCGCGTCATACCGAAAGACGTTAAAATACGGTACTTGTTGGTCCCTGCCTGACGCTCGGCATTAATGGGTACAACAAGGACTGGTCGGCTCGGAGTCGGTATAATGCGTCTGAGTGGGGTATTCATGCTTCACTGCGGCATGGTATCTCCGTGGGCTAGCACTATAAAACCAGCTTTAGTCTGGGCTAGTACAAGCAGCCGCACATACACATACACACGCATGCACGTCGTCATATGAGCGAAATATTCTCAAGCACGACGTTAAACCCAATTTCACCTCACCTCACCTCAAAGAGACGGCAGCAGTAATTCAACGAGAAATGAATTACTGCTGGCGTCTTATAATAGAGTTCGTACGGTAGTTCTCATAATATATACATATCCCTCGGCAAACTGAACAAGCCCTGTGAACTGTTTGTTACAGTTGGGCACCACACAAAATGACTGTATTACCCAAATTTACTAACGTCAGGAAATACTCGTTTCATCCGGCGGCCATATGAACAACGTTTGAAATCTACGTATCATCTGGCCGTCAGATTTACACACGTGTAAAGGGGTGTTAAAATAAACGAACATTCGACTCTGCATTCACATATATTTCACAGGTGTGTAAATCTGGCCATTGTTTCCATGTGTTTCCTAACATGTGTAACATATGTAAATGCTGTGATTGTAGGACATGCATTTCAATACCCTTGAAATCTCGTATGACCAGGGTTAGGTTTGTCATATATTTTGTACATGCGTAAATGGTTGGAAATGAGTAAGTATAGTGTTACAAGATTAGCACTACTTTAACATGTATTTCAATGGTGCTGTAATGTAACTGTCACATAGGGTTCGTTAGCGCGTCCGACCACGCCATAATGTACTGAGATAATTAGAAACACATGGTGAAGTGATTCCCATGACTGAGCACCACTAATAACGTGCGTGTCTTTCTTGACATACACATGGTGTCTGTTTAAAAGGTTCAAATAACAGGTCTATGGGCCAGAGCGATATGTATGTTAGGGGAGTGTGTGTGTGTGTGTGTGCGAGGGAGAGGATGTGGCATGGGGTAGGCCTAGGGTGGGGTGGTGGCGGTGGTCGGTGTTGGGGTACTGACCAATAGGTAATATCATTTATGCTTTTTGTAACTGACCTTAGGTACAATTCTTATATATGTTTTACAAGGAGACACTGCTAATTACAATAAAACACAGATCTAGACGAATGTGTTCACACAGACATGAACCGGTAGGCCCCTAATTTTAGTGCTCACTTGTATGAGTTATCCGACCCATCATAACTGAACAAATTTCATTATCTATACTTTCATAAAAGATTATTACAATGTATTAATGATTCCCGGTGTAAATTACTGTTTTAAATGTGTGAACATGCACATACTTGGTATGGCCTCTTTTTTGATTCTTAATACAGGTATTATTCCATACGGACGTTTTCTCAAATTTCAGTTACTGAATATACTGTAGACATATTTTGTTTCCACCTCTTGGGTAGACTAAAGAAAATTGTAGTGATTGCGATTAGCTCATAATTTTCATATTAGACCTATTTTGTTTCCATCTGTTGGGCAGACTATAGGAAATTGTAGTGATTGCAATTAGCTCATAACTAAGCAGTTTCGATAATTGTTGAAAGCTTACTACCTGACAGCATTATGTTGCTCATGCGTTTTCTTTTTTGCTTTTGCTTTTTGCTGTCTAATTTGTTATACATTATATAATTATGTTAATCATTTTGGTAT